TATCAGATATTAGACGACTGTTGAAGAACCAGTCATCCCTCGGTGATACCCTCAAATCCCCGTCTTCAGTGTTTCTACGAATTGGAATCGCAACCGATCGTAATATCTGAAGCTAGTGTAACACTAACACTGTACGACGTCTTAATAGAGTTAAATTTTACGACCGTATGGCAATTACAATAAACATTAAATTTTCCAATACCGCACAGTTTGCAGTTTAAGGTTTTTTTTCAATTTTGAACACTTAGTGTAGGAAGGCCAGCGAGAAGGCCAGTCATTATCACCGACTGTTATGTAGTTTGAAAAACTGATATAGTATGTCGGGACACCCTTGTAAATCAAGTAAACCACCCACAGAATAAACCTATATTTAATCCGTTTCAGAAAAGTCTAGTCTCGTGTTATTGCATATGACTTCTCTGAAAGGACTATCTAATTAAACACAGCATTATATAATTAGAATAAGCATGTCATTTATGCATTAAAAGCTTCTCTACTTTTTATTTTTTCCGATAAATAATTAAATCAAATGAAGTTCTGATCTACCAGCGTCCAAGGACTTTGGTCTGGTCCAAAAGACGAATTCAAAACGCGAGCCCTTGAAATGAACTTGCACGTTTCAAGGTGTATAATAAAACTTTGATTCTTATTTTTATGGAGATATTTTCAGTAGTTTTACGAAAAACACATTCAATTTCGCATTTATTGGAAAATTACGAGGCGCCAAATAGCCTTAATTGTTAGACCCGCAATCAATATTAAATTTAGATAATGTTAAAACAAGTTTAAGGAATATTTATAACTTAATAATGTTATAATTAGACTAACACATTACAAACATCATTAGCTAATACTTGCAAATATACCTAATGTCTGTAATTGGGCTTGTATTATGAAACATCAGAATGACTTGGAAACTGGTACAGATACCGAGAAGGAATTATCGTAAGACAGGCTGGCGTATTTCTCAGATGATAGTAGGAAAATCGAGAAAATCCATTGAAAACAACCACCTACTCATTCTAAGAAAGCTCTAGGGGTCAAGGTCGGCGTGGCGCAAGGGGAAAATCGCCTACGGTATTGATTTTGTTTTGAAGACCGTAGGGAGGTAGTTACGAGTTGAAGGTGAACATACTGAAAATGGGTTATTGAAATCTAAATTTCCGTATAAATTTTCCTTCAATTTTTAATTGTAAAAAAATTTCCTCCAATTATAATTGCGAGTGTCATTATGTAAGTGGAGTATTAGTACTGAAAATATTCCATCAAATGTTACGAACGTGTTTATTTATAATGGAATTTGTATGAAAATCTTCCTTTTTCACAAGCATTTCCTTAATGCAGTAATGATTGACGAGACTTGTTTGCATTATGCAAACAGCCTATTATTTAATCGACGCGATTAGTTCAACTAATTTTCCACATTAAAATGATTTGTTATTTCTAGGGTATTTATTTGCAATGTAAAAGAAATTTATCGAAATGGAAAGTGTCATAACCATATAGGGAAAAATAAATAAACAAGTGATTAGCTTTTTGTTTTTCTGAAATTCCCATGGAAGTTGTAAACTCGTAGTAATCTTTGAACGAAGGTTTAATCAGAAGTCGAGTTGTTGACCTAATCAAACTTTTCTCCTTGATTCGGATAGAGGTGGATTTCAAAAGCGCTGTTTTTTATCGTCTACTATATATAAATCGATAAGAAGTCGAAAAATGTGTCGGACGTTTTACCACTGTTTTATAAGATTGGACTTTGAATTTCAGAGCTAGTCGGTCTTATTGGTAAAAATGCTGGCAACTGCATTAAAATTACTACTAAGCAATCAGTAATGCTATTGGAAATCGTAGTATTCTTCAATATAAAAAATCATTGTTCTCTGGAATGTGTTGCTATCAAACGCAGTTTTTGAGTACATTTGTAGATTTTCCACCTGTATGACTTAAGCTCGTCAACTATGACTATGAGGTCTTTTATCTTCACAAATTTAAAATTAAATGTTGCAATTTGAATTCTAAAGCTACCAAGGTATTTCTAACTATGTTTCAAATTCCCTTATCATAATAATAAATATAAATTTATTTATAAAAATTATCAAAGTCCTCGTGTGGGGTCGAAGGGAAAAAACTGAAAAATCACCATGTTGGTAAACTACTCTCGGGGATGGCACCCACAGATGTCGACGATCCCACATCACGAACGCACGAGTAAGCCAGCGAGCGATCGGACGATGAAATCAATATACTTTGGCATCTTGGTGTTATTTGGGAATTTAATTACACCCAACCCGTTTTGAGGAAAAACCATGGACTTCAACCCTTCAAATTACTTTGGCATCTATTAGGGTCAAACCAAAGCTTTTATCTGACCTTTTCATTCTTACGTAATTTGACAATACACACATAGAAAGAATTCCGTTGCCTTTCAATACTACGAATATTCACAAAAGACACGTCCTCGATAAATTGACATCAAATGTACAGATATTTGTTGCGTAATTGTCTGCAAATTGTTTAGAAAAGATTGTGAATGGCAAGAGCTTGGCCCAACACATTTTAACTAATTAGATTCTACCAGTGAATACGCTAATACTATATTTTAGTGAAAAGTTAAGCCCGCTTGACATGGAGCAATAAAAATTGCAATTGCATGCAAGTTGCAAGAAAAATTGCGAAAGGCATGCGCAGTTCAAAGCCAGCTGATCAATTGCTGCAAGAAACTTGCATGCAATTTTTATAGGACCGGTGCTATTTTTCTTGCATGAATCGTGCAATTCTAGGGATAAATCTAGTTGTTTTTGTGGCACCAACCTAGTAAAATACAGCGGCGGCAACTGTGGTGCTGAGAGACGCACTCATTACTTGTTTTTACTAATCTTATTTATTCTTGTAATTTTCACGTTTCTTCAAGCAATCAAAATTTAATTTTCATTTGAGGTTAACAACTTTGTTGACAAATCCATATGTTTCTTCTGTTGGCAGACATGTGGCAATTGAAATAGAATTGCACCATGTCAAATACCATGCAATGCTTATTGCATGCAAGGATTTGACCTTGCAATTTCTTTCTGCAAGTTCTTGCGCGTAGTATTGCTCCATGTCAAGCGGCCTTTACGTAAGCATGCATGATTCAATTCATGTCACGTTTATAATAGTGATTTGGACCCAATGAAACTGAAGGCGAAAACAGACTGCTGTCACGTGATGGCACGTGCCGGCATGCTGTCGTAGGTCACTTCACGAAAATCTATAACAGAAACAAATGCGCTTAATCAGATTGTTACCTCATGCAAGTTACGACACGAGCTGGCAAAAATAGAGGAAACATTGATAGTGGCTGTTAGAAAACGCCAATTTTTGTTTGATATGGTGTGTCCTGAATACAGAGATCAACGCGTGCGGCCGGAAGCGTGGAAGGAAATAGGAAAAGAACTAAACATATCAGGTAAGGTTTTTCAAAAATACACCGCGATCGCTATTTCTACCGTAGGCGCAAACATCAACGCACAGTAGTCGGCATCCACTAGCGCCATACGAACAACTGAATGAGTGTCTTTATAATTAAAATAGGTGGAACCTGCATTTATCAGACATTGAATATTAATGTGCTTCCCATTTCTTATTTTATAGTGCTTCTCATCTAAAGCAGCTATGCAGTTGGAAAAATCCACGTTTCTTTAGTCGATTCCGGCATAACAATGGGTCCTAATCTCTTCTAATTTCTAAATAGCAATTAGTTCTCGTACAGTGCTGAAATTCGATCGATAGCAGGCTGAAGCCGATACTCCTGCAAGTGTCTAAAAACCTAAAAGACAAAATCTCTTCTTGCAGTAAGTCAAGCTAAAGAAAATGGAATCGACCACGTTGCTGTTTTATCAAAACCCGACAGAAACGTCTTTCCAAAATGAGTGGTCAGTCAGGCCGCAAAAAAGTTATAACTTGGAAATGGGAACAACAAATGGCCTTTCTTCTGCCCTCATTGGAAGGATAAAACACAATATTTACAAAAAGTTATGTCAGATATTTTGATATCTATGATTTTAGGACTAATGTGTCCGTGTGTCAGAAGATGAGAATTGTTGTGTCATATAAGGGATCGATCGGTTACATTAACAACTGCAGGAATTTATTACAATGGACTTTAATAATAAATGCATACAGCAATTATGATTATTATTATAAGAGTCATTTTCTACACATGACAATAGACAACGACATTACACTTAAGACTCGCGAAGTTATCAACTGTTCTCGTTGACAGTCACCAGTACCAACCCCATATTTAACTAACACTACATTTCTCCCCTCTTATTTTAAGGTCGTCACTTACAAAAAAAACATTAAAATACTTACAAATTTAAGCGGTTAGGTGGTATAACCGTTCGTTTGGATCTACGGAGGGAAGGGGATGGAACATCCCTCACAACAGGATGACTAGGGCCAGGCTGGGCTTCCGTGCTTCCCTCTGGTGGTGGACCCGTTGAAGGGCCATCACGAAGCCGTACTTCATCCTCAACCCGCGGTCCCACCATTTCTGGCATGTGGACCTGATCTCTGACTTCGGGTAGTGGAAGAGCAGGTGGAAGATAACTCGTAGATTCTGGTGTCTTGCTTTCTTGAACGATTTCATTTTCCATTCCTGCTCTGCTGCGCTTTTTCAAATGATCGCCATGCATGTACCTTACTCGTCCTGACGCCAACACCAAGTAGGTGTATTCTCCCACGGCTTTCATAATTTTCCCAGGGATCCATTTTTTTTCTTTGACCTCGTATGCCCATATGTACTCTCCTTCCAGAAATAAATTTCGATTTATCCGCCGATTATTTTCATATTCTACTGTCCTTTCTCTGTAGTCCTCTTCAGATTTATTTTCCAGATTACTGGGTTTTAGCAGAGTAATTTTGGTTCTTGGTTTCTTTGCCATCATCATTTCAGCTGGTGTTCTCTTCGTTACAGAATTTGGAGTATTCCGATGATTAAATAAAAAATTATCCAATTTATGTTAGAGCGTTATGGTTTCTGTGCATTTTGAACTTTGGAATAATTGCTTTTGGAGGTTCCTTTTAGTGGTATGGACTTGTTTCTCAACCGCCCCATTGCTTGGTGGATGATATGGCGGGCTGTGTTTTAGTTGGATCCCATTTGATCTACAAAAAATTTCAAATTCCTTGCTATTAAATGGGGGACCATTATCGGTTATCAGAATTTCTGGTAATCCAAAACAAGAGAAAACAGTTCTAAATTTAGAAATTGTTTTCGCTGCATTAGTTCCCTGTGGCATCATAAATACCTCTAACCATCTTGTTTTGCTGTCGATAATTATCAGGAATTCGATGCCTTCAAATTTGAAAAAATCTGCATGAACTCTCTGCCAGTTGTTCGTCGCTAACGGCCATTGCAACATTTTTCCTTCTTGTCGATTATTGGCATATATTTGACATTCTTCGCAGTTTCTGATTTTCTCTTCAATATCCTGTGTTATTCCAGGCCACCAGATATCGCTTCTTGCTCGTAGCTTCATTCGCACGATTCCTGGATGTTGATCGTGTAATAACTCCAACACATGTTCACGTAAGGTTTTTGGAATAATCACCCTACATCCCCAACTGAGACAATCGTTGTCAATGGTGATTTCCATTCTTCTACTAAAATATGGTTTTAATGTTTCATTTGGACATTGTTGTGGCCATCCTTCCTTGACGTACTGCCGAACTTTTATCAGGTTTAAGTCTTTTCCAGTTTCGGACCTTACTACTTCAGCTGTAACGGGTTGCTCCTCCATGTTTGTGAATGATAAAACTTCTTGGACTCCCGAATTTAGTTTTAATGGTAGTCTACTAAATCCATCTGCATTTGCCACTTCTGATCCCTTTTTATAAATGATGTTGTATTCATATCCCGACAATATGATAGCCCATCTTTGTAATCGTGAATGTGACAGAGTTGGTATACTTTTCTTGTTGCCAAAAATTGTTTTTAGAGGTTCATGATCTGTGATCAATGTAAATTTGTGTCCAAATATAAATTTATGAAATTTTTTGATAGCGAATACTATACCCAGTGCCTCCTTCTCCACTTGAGAATAATTCTTCTCTGCTGCGCTTAATGTACAGGATGCGCACATAACAGGTTTTACTTCATTATTTACCTTTTGACTTAGAACGGCACCTAATCCATATGCGGATGCATCTGTGGTAATGATGATTTCGTTATCCGGGTTGTAATGAGTTAAGGTAAAACAATGCCCCAACAATTCTTTTGATTTATCAAAAGCTGTTTGACATTCATCATTCCAACAGAACACCACGTCTTTTCTTAACAATCCATAAAGTGGATGTAGAATAGTTGAAAGCATTGGGATAAATTTACTATAAAAATTTAATAATCCCACATATGACCTTAATTGCGTAACATCTCTTGGAACAGGTGCGTTTTTAATTTCTGTCACTTTAGATTGTAGTGGCTGAAGGCCTCCTTCGACTAATTTATATCCCAAGAATTCCACTTCTGGTTTAAAAAATATACTTTTGTCCTTATTTATTCTAATATTATGCTTTTCGAAACGAGATAATACTTCTTTGACTTTTGTGTAACACTCGGTAAAGTTACGTCCACTTATAATTACATCATCAATATAAATTCCTACCTTAAGACCTTCTAGGACCCTTTCCATGGTAGACTGAAAAATTGCAGGAGCACTTGAGACACCATATGGAAGTCTAGTGAATCTCATTAAGCCCATATGGGTGTTGATAGTTAAGAGCTCTTGACTTTGCTCTTCGACAGGTAATTGCAAATACGCCTCCGACAGATCTAGAATTGTGAAAACTTTACCATCCTTGATATTATGACAGATTTCATCCAAGGTAGGGAGAGGGTAGTAATCGGTTCTCAGGACAGGGTTAAGGGTTTTCTTAAAATCTACACATATTCGAATACCACCATTTTGTTTTGGAACACACACTATGGGACTAGCAATATCTGCGTGTGTTACCGGAATTAGAATACCATCTTTAATCATGGTCTTTAACTTACTTTCTATCAACTCTTTCATTTTGTATGGCACTGTATATGCTTTGTGATAAACCATACTCGCATCATCTTTTAGAACTAAACGAGCCTTGATACCAGTTATGCCATTGACTTTGTTTTCGGAAAAGACTTTGGGAAATTGCTTTTTTAAATCTGAGACAATATCGTTCCCCGTAATAGAACATATACTGGTGTCAAAGTTCCTTGAATAAGGACTAAAGGCACTTCGCCATGACGGTAATATTACATCAAGCCAATTCCGACCCATGAGCGGGAAGGAACTATTTTTCGTTTTAGATACAATCAACGACAACATATGACTTGGACCAGTAGCACTCAACGACACTCTTACATTCATTTGTCCTACACTCTTGATCTCGTTTCCCGACACATCTTGCATTTTAATGTCTGTACCTCTTATTCGCTCCGAGCTAAAATTACAACTAAAGTATTGTTGACAACAAATACTTACAGCTGCCCCTGTGTCTATTTCCATAACTATTGGATTATTATTTACATAGACTTTACATAGGACAGGTACCGACTTTTTGTTTGATACGTGACTGATTGCGAGACTGCGAACTGTATTCATTTCCGCCGTTAAGGAATGAACCCCTTGCAGGTCGCCGTTTTCTTCTCCTACAGCTGTAACTTGGTTTAATTCTAGCACGTCCACGCCCCCTTGATGTTCGGACTCCATCTCTTCGACTTGACTGACCCACCTGCTCTTCTTTGCACGGCATACTGTTGAGGTGTGCCCCTTCCTATGACATAGGAAGCAATCCCAATTAGCTGCCGGACACGTACTTGGGTTATGTTTTCGATTACAACGAAAGCATGGCTTGTAGTTTTCCTTTTTGCTGAACTTGAAGTTCTCACGATCACCTTGACTTTCGTGAGTTGGATAAACTTTTGACGTTTTGAACTGCTGTTTTTTCATAATTTTGTTGACATCAGCTGGTTGTAGACTTTTTGTTTGCTCAGATGCAGTTTCCATGGAGAGTGCTGTACTGCATGCTTTCTCGAACGTAAGGTCACTCTCCGACAACAATTTCGTTTGAATGTTCTCCTTTAATAACCCGCATACAAATCGGTCACGCAAAGCTTCACTTAAAAATGTTCCAAATTGTCAATCCCGTGCAAGTTTCTTCAACTTTCGGACCAATTCCCCCACAGACTCATTCACCCCCTGACTACACCGATAGAAACGAAACCTCTCTGCTATGACAATCTTTTTTGCACTAAAATGTGTAGTTAGCGCTTCCTTTAACTGACTGTAGCTTTTACTCTTGGGGTTATCTGGTGATACCAGGTCTTTTAAAATCGAGTATGTTTCCGTTCCTATTAAAGTTAGAAACAACGGAACCTTTTTATCTTCTTCGACTATATTACAGATAAATAGCAGATCCATTCTTTCTATGTATGCTTCGATATCCGAAGTTCCAGGTGCAAACGGTTCGATTGTACCAATAAGAGCCATTTTGTTTTAGGTTTCACGGTCACAAACGACGTTTTATGTTCACGCTTCAGGTTCAAAGCCTCGTCGCCAGATATGTTGTGTCATATAAGGGATCGATCGGTTACATTAACAACTGCAGGAATTTATTACAATGGACTTTAATAATAAATGCATACAGCAATTATGATTATTATTATAAGAGTCATTTTCTACACATGACAATAGACAACGACATTACACTTAAGACTCGCACGAAGTTATCAACTGTTCTCGTTGACAGTCACCAGTACCAACCCCATATTTAACTAACACTACAAGAATCATGAGATAGAAGAGTAGGAGAAAATTCACAACCAGTCGATGAAGAAGACGCACTGGAAGAGAAAGCAATCTAACGAAACACAAAGATATGAAGCAGCACGATCGCCAAAATGCAAAAGAACCAATCCTTCGGATGAATTGGTGAAGATATTAAAGAGTAATGCAGCTTTTCAAAAACAAAAATACGAAGCGATACGAGATGCATCTGCTGAGAGACTAACCACTACGGAGAACATACAAGACACTGGCATTTTATTTTTGAGCATGTCGAAAATCACAAAAAAGCTTCCATCCAATGAGTAAGCACTAATTAAAATTGGCGTAAGAAAAAAGTGATTGAATCTGAACTATAACTACTGCACAGCCAAGACCGCCGTTTTTCCACCCGACCAACATCATCTTCTTCAACTCGCCACCTTCCATTGCACGTGATTCAATCACCTAATGACTCATCTTCTTCCACTTTTTCTCCGTCAAGCAATACGGATGAAGAACATCTACCCACACTACTAAAGTTGCCTAATATCCAAGATAAGACATGTATCAACATTAAAATATAAATTTCTGTTCCAAAATAGGACGATTTAACCCAACTTACCTCTATCCAAAAGTGCTTCGGTAAGGCGCTATCTACCGTAAACCATCACAGATAGCGATATTCATCAAGAGATAAAAAATGCTTGCAAGTAAACTGTCTCTCAGTGTCCAAAAATTCAGAACTGTCAAAATGTAGTTAAAAAGTTTTAGACCTCTTCAGATGTGGATGGTCAATATTTTACCACCTACATAGCAACTACAATCAAAACGGTGATATCACAAAGACCCTTTTTACATTAGACATTCACATCCCGAATTTCATTTTAATCGGCAAAACCATTTTCCGATAAAATAAAAATAACGATTTGTTTTTTAATCTTTAGCGGTAGATAGCGCCTTACCGAAGCACTTTTGGATAGAGGTACCCCTGGTAGCACGTTGTACAGACCTTTTAGGGACACCCTGTACAATTGTATAGTAAATTAGTAACCATTAAGTAGAGACTTAAATTGAAATTGACAAAAAAAAACAATCAGACCTTTTATTTGCATTGCAATAAATGCTTTACATTTCACCACCTACATAAAGTAGTTAATTTGGGAACATGGCAAATAAGAATACTCGAGTTTGGATATGGTACTGTAGGTATTGTCAAGTGCATAGACGACCACCTGGAATTTACCGGGAATGTAACATTTCTTTGTAAAACGTTATGCTAAAAGTTTCGATTTAAATGTGAGCGACCTGAATTGTGTTGTGAGTTGTATGGTGCTCCGTACCTATTCCTTCGTTAGAGCTTGGAATATAATTATATTCAAAGGTTAGGGTTAGGAACAGGAACAATTTTAATCAGTCGTTGTGATGTAGAAGTGTATTTTACACTGCTAACCAAGTTTGTATTCTGACAGTGTCTTTTGAGCGTCACACACTTTCATTTAGTACGAATTAACAGAGTAAGCATTTACCTAGGCATTTACTCTGCTATGCATTGATTGTGAAAATTTGTGATCCATATCCGTTTTATTCAATCAACCCAATTCTCCCTGAAAAGAATTTTCTTTTTACTTCAAGGAAGACCAACATCGCCTACCGTAAATGCCGAAACGAATAAAAAGAGTCATTATTGACGGAGTGGTTTTAAAAATTTACTGTAGCTGTTAGTTTGAGACAAACTCAATTATCACAAGCAGTGTAGACTGTTTATTCCGATCTAAGTGACATTATTTTCCGTTCTATTTACCATCCTGTGCTCAAGGACAGAACAGCTTAATTGTAAAGATAAAGCCCGACTACTCCATAAGTAAACATATTGAAGTAAAAAGTTTACTCTGTGCATTACTAACAATAAAACGCAGTTCAGCAATGGAAAGCTTCTGATAAACAGAGCAAGTTCATTGAATACAGGGTTAATTAACCTACAGATCTGGTTTAAACTGGATTGAAATCATTAAAACCGTTCTCTCTCTTTCTCACACTAGATAAGGAAAATTCTTATCAATTAATCTAAACGTATCATCTCTTGATAAAACGCAAAAACAGATTACATTGATGAAAGTGTTCACAGGAAACCACTTGACGAAAAAATAAAGGTATCATAAGTGGAATTGGCACAAATGGATTTCATCGCATAGCAATTGATGGAAATTGGGAAGATCTAGAATCGAGATGAGAACTGAATTTGGACAACACATTGCTTCAGCTCTGTACTCCTTCTGACAAATTGCACAACTATGGATAACAAAGCAACTGGAAACAGGAAAAACTTGCATTCGGATTTCTCATATTCTGAAGCTAAATCAATTGATACAGTTTCTCTTGAAAAAAGGAAACTTTATTTGAATAGTCCAATTTTACTGCTAGTAACTGCAAGTCACATATCGTACAGACATTTTTCATTTTGCGTAATTTTTTCCAATAAACCACAGCAATGCATTTTTTTCAAGCTTGAATGCCCAATATTTTCCATTATAGGAATGATGAAACTTTTTCGTATACCATTAAAAAATAATTTTAAACTCGTAAAACGCGTTACATTATATTTATATAGCCATCAAATAAAGACAACGAACACAAACCAGAAATTTGTGTTAGTAAATCAACTTGGTATTTTTTTATTTAATTAGTTAATTGTTTGCTGTTGAAATCGGATGTGTGATTAAAAATGTAAACAAGCCGATTGGAAATTGTGGCTTGATTTAATATATGATAAAACATAATGAAAATGAAATATAATTGCCACAACTGTTTAGGTTAAGGTTATTATCAAACTGTAGAGGAAACATAGGTTTTCCCCGAATTTTTTAATCATCTAACGGAAAGTGCTTACAAAATTGCTAAGCTAATTTTTCCACTTCGATGATTATTAACTTCGGGGTGTGGATGGATTAATAAGGAAAAGGGAAAAAAGAATATTATTTCATTTTATTCCATGTTTACTTATGTGTCCCGCTCAAATATACAGACAATCAATTCTTACACTTGTCCAACCATCCCTCGCAAATCTAGAAATTTATTAGTAAGGAACTGATGCTACCTAAATAAAGCTTACACAGCATGTAATACTTGATCTTTAATGCAGGTGCACAATAAATAGTAAATGTTTAAAATGCGTTGGCACCATTGAATATAAAATATTACATTTAAAGGTTGATTGAAACACACCAGAGGTTGTAATACCATGTTCCACATAATTCAAAAATGGATAAATCCTTAGTACACTTTTGAGGTAAGTGGTTACTTTGAATTTGTGTAACAGGAATTTGCTTGCAATGAAAATATGTATGGCACTTACAATTTGAAATTTAAAAATGTCTTTACCTAAAATCACACAAGCCAGTGGCGGATAACCCTTAGGAGACCCTAAGCATAATGCAATTTTGAGGCATAATAAAAATTCAAAATTCTTAAACATTTTCAAACCAATGTGAAATGTATTTTTGATTATGCTATGACCACACATATATTGGGCGTTTTATCAGGTCTGAAAAACTTGATGTCAACCGATTCACTTCATAACCGAGATCTTACCTTATAAAGGATAAAGGATAAGGTAATCCTTCCTACTTAAAAACTCCAACACTTTTAAATCAATGTTGATTTGATGTAAAATAAGGTAATCATTTAAAAATCGACTAAAATTAGACGTTTTACGAATCTTATTGGTACAAAAGTAACGGACGATCAAAAAAGGATTGACGTCGAGTCGCCTTTGGAAGTTCATGTTAAATATGATTTCCCATTTCAACAAATTCCAAAGATGACTCGACAGTAGGTAACTCTATTTGATCGCATAATACATTGGGAAAGTTCAATTTTTTAAGAACAAGAATAATTGAACGTTGCAAACAGTTTGTCATTTTTTATTTGAACTTTTAGTATTCGCGAAAATCTGCTGTCTATAAACGGCTGAAGAAAATGAAAAAAGAAGTGACTGTGCGGTGATCCGCTTCTATAGTACAAGCCCCCAAAACCAACCATAGAATAGAAGAAAAGTATTCCTACCCGACTATACCTGATGGAGCAAGCGTAATTCGCGAGTGAGTCCAAAAAAATATTTGAGTAATTTCAGTTTTAATCAACCGATACAACAGAATATCGAGGGATCCTCAGTATTAGCATCATTTTTTTAACGACCATTTATGTAAACCTTGCATGATGCATATACAAAAATGCAAATTCAATGGTACTACGTACCGGAAACGATTAGCTAGCCAGTGGCAATGTGTTTATACACATATTTTTCTGCACCAAATTGAAGTTTGGCCGGATTATTTTTCAATGTAATGTAATATTATGTAATGTAATGTAAAACGCTAAACGGGTTTATTAGTATTCAAGTAGAAGTAGATATATCTTTTGGGTTGTTAGTGAATATCTTTATATCTTATATACACGTAAACCTTTATAAAGAAATAATTACAATGCATAAGAATTTTCAACAAAACCTGTACCTTCCAAAATATAAATTTAAGCAAATCCTAAAGCAATTCCCTTAGATAAATCAATTTAAACAAACCTTATTAACAAAGAAAAATCATTCGAAGGAATGTAATTACCGGACTATAATACATGGGTGTAACAACATAAAGACAATAAAATATGCAGGCAAGATGACAGTACTTGCAGAAACAGAGAAGGAACTACTGGGCACTGGCTATAGCTAT